GCACGCCCTGGCAGCAGGGAAAGGATTTTGGGGTGTCCCGAGGCGGGGACGAAGCTGCAGACGAGGTCCCTTTGTCGCCAAGAGCGACAACTCCCGGTCAGCGATGGGGCTGGGGGACAATGGGGACACGAGGGGGACACGGGGCCTCTCTTTGGGGTGTCCCGGGAATGCCGAGCGGGGCTGGCGGAGGATGCGACATCGGCGACGGGCACCGGGGGGCGCGCGGAACCCGCCAGTGCCACCGCACGGGGACAGCGGCGGCTGTCGCCTCCTTCCTGGGAGCCTGGAGCCTGTCCCCTGCCAGGACACCGGGGCTGTCCCCTTCTGTCCCCTCCTGTCGCATGGTCCCTGTCCCCTTCTGTCCCACAGTCCTTGTCCCCTCCTGTCCCATGGTCCCTGTCCCCATTGCTGTCCCGGCACCAAAACCCCACCGGAGTGGCCCCAAACCTTGGGGACATGGTGGCACAGTGCCACCCCCTCCTGCCCCCTGCGCTGTCACCGTCCCTGGGTGGGACCCGCTGCGTCCCCTCAGCCACTGACACCGAGGGACACCGAGGGACACCGAGGGACACACGGCTCCATGCTGAGCCATTGTCCCCACTCCCGATGTCACTGTGTCACCTCTGCACCCCCTGGCAGCGCCTTCCCCAGGTGTGGGGACACGCCAGCACCCCGGGCGTGTCCCCTGCGTGACCCTGGGGTGTCACACATCCCCCTCACGGGGTCCTGCCCTTGTCCCTCTTGTCCTGCCACCCCCAGAGCACCAAGGACACGCGACAGTCGTGTCCCCTGGCCCGGGGGGCACAGGAAGGGGTCGGAGGTGCCAAGGCACCCACGGCGACACTTTGTCCCCAACCGTGGTGACAAAAGCGAGGGGATGGCGGTGACACCGCCCCTCCCCCGCAGCTCGGGGCTGAGCGGATCCGCGTCACCTCTCCCGCGTGTCCTTGTCCCCAGTGCCACCCACGCCGGTCCCCTCGCGTGTCCTTGTCCCCAGTCCCCCCGCAGCGGGGGGGAGGTGACACCGCGCCCTTTCGCTTTCCACCCGCGGGGGTTTTTTGTCACCTCTGGAGCCAGCGGGTGACACCACGGCCACCCCTCCGTGTCAGTCACCCCCGGGGGAGCCTGGGATTTAGGGCAGGGATTTGGGGGAGCAGCTCATCCCTGTGGGAATGCAGGGAGGGGACAATCAGGGGACATTGTCACTTCCCTGGGGTGCCCCCACCCACCTGGGAAAAGGGCCTGGAGCTGCGGCTTGGATTCCTGACCCTAAAACTCCACCCCCCTGCACAGAGACCCCCCTGCCCTATAGGGACCCCTCTGCCCCATAGAAAACCCTATAAGGAGCCCCCTGCCCCATAGAGACCTCCCTGATCTATAGAGACCTCCCTGCCCCATTGATTCCCCTATAGGGACCTCTGTAAGGAGCCCCCTGCCCCATAGAAAACCCTATAGAGAACTCCTACCCCATATATTCCCCTATAGGAACCTCTGGAGGGAGCCTCCTGCCCCAAACAAAACCCTATAAAGAACCCTCTGCCCCATAGATACCCCTATAAGAACTTCCGAAGGGAGCCCCCTGCCCCATAGAAAACCCTATAAGGACCTTCCTGCCCCATAGATTCCCCTATAGGAACCTCTGTAAGGAGCCCTGCCCCATAGAAAACCCTATAAGGAAGTTCCTAGAGGGGAATCAATGGGGCAGGGAGTTCTTTATAGGGTTTTCTATGGGGCAGGGTTTTCTCTCCGGCAGTTCCTGTAGGGGAATCTATGGGGCAGGGACGTCTCTATAGGTCAGGGAGGTCTCTATGGGGCAGGGGTTGGGGGTTTTTTGAGGTATTTCGGGTTTTGGGGGGTTTGGGGTTTTTTTTAGGATTGAGGTGTTTTTTGAGATTTTGGGGGTTTTGCTTGGATTGGTTTTGGGGGTTTTTGGGGTTTGTTTTGGGATTTCGAGCCCGCGTGGCTGCCAGGCTTTTTTGGGGGGGGTTTTGGGGTATCCCCACCCCGTGGGATCCGTTCTCCAGCCTGGATCGCTCCTCGGAGATCAGGGAGTGGGAATCCATGGCTGGAAAGGGCAAAACATTGGGAGGAGGAGGAAAAAGAAGAAGAGGAAAAAGAGGAAGAAGAGGAAGAAAGAAGAGGAAGAAGAGGAAGAAGAGGAAGAAGAGGAAGAAGAGGAAGAAGAGGAAGAGGCCCTCGTGGTATAATCCCGAGTTTAACTTCCCCCAGTTCCTCCCGGACCATCTGATTTCCCCAAAAGCGCCGCGTTTCCCGCTCGGATCCCTCTCCCTGCTCTTTGTCCCACCTGGATCCCTCCCTGTCCCGGCAAATCACAGGGACAGACAGACAGACGGACACCAGGTTAAACCCCGAGATCCTGGGGAAAAAAAAGCAGCCGATAATCCCTAAAAAATAGGGATTTGGACATGGGGAAAAGCGTTTGGACAGGAGGTGACGGCAGCCGGGAGCGTGGAGGGGTTTCAGGGACCCCCACCCCGACTCTGGGAATCCCTGGATGGAGCCACGAATGGATTTTATGGAAAGGCGTGGCCGGGATGAGACAGCTCCCATCACTCTTCAAGTGATTTGGGGTCCCCGTTCATTTAAAGAGTGATGAGAGCCCGGATTTGGGGTCCCCAAACACTTAAAGAGCGATGGGAGCCCGGATTTGGGGTCCCCACTCGCTTGAGGAGGGACAAGGACCCGGATTTGAGGTTTCCGTTCACTTGAGGGGGAACAGGGGCCCAGATTTGGGGTCCTCGTTCCCTTAAGGGGGAACACGAGCTTGGATTTGGGGTTCCCGATCACTTGAGGAGGGACAGGAGCCCGGGTTTGGGGTTCCCATGCACTTGAGGGGCATCAGGAGCTCAGATTTGGGGTCCCCACTCCCTTAAGGAGTGACAAGGGCCCCGATTTGGGGTCCCCACTCACTTGAGTGACAATAAGGCCCCACTCACGTGAGGAGGGACAGGAGCCCGGATTTGGGGTCTCCAATCACTGGAGTGACACCAGCCAGGATTTGGGGTCCCCACTCCCTTTAGGGTGACAGCACCCCCATTTGGGATCCCATCTCTGGTGAATCCAGGGGGATCCCGATCCCATCCCAGCGGGAAAAGATTCCCAAAGTGCTCAACTCTGGAATCCCAACCATGGCATGGTCCTGTCCTGCACGGCAAATCTTCCTCCTGGAGCTGGAATAGCCCCAAAAACGACGCTTGGAGGGGAAAAAAAAAATTAAATTCTCCTGTTGGCTTTTGGCCATGCCGGAAAAAAGGCTGGAAAAGCTGCTGGAATATTCGAGCTTCCCGAAAATAACTCCTGGGACAACGAGGTGACATCGCGGTTCCCCCTCGGGCAGCCTCGAGGCCACAAGAAATCCCAAACGCTCCCGGTTTATGGCGAGGGGACGCCGAGAGCCCCTCCCTGTGTCCCTGTGTGTCACCCTGGCTGTCCCCGTGCTGCTCCATCCCACGGTCCCAGCCGGGTGTTGGGGCAGGGAAATGGGATTTTGGGCAGCCAAACTGGAATTCTGGCTCCCTGCAGAATTCCCATTGCGGCGTCACCTCCGTGCGCTGCTCCCAAACCTCTTTCCCGGGGTTTGACTGCGGCGTTTTGGAGTTTTGGGGGTGGAATGGGAACGGGAACAGCTCGGAGCCCCAAAAATTCCCAATCCCGTGGGGCTGCCAAAATTCCCACTCGCGGCTGGGGAATCGGCCGCTCCCCGCTCCTTCCCCCTCCTTTCCCTGCCGGGAATTCTGTGCCAGGCAGGGACGGAGGCAGGGAAAGGTTCCGATCTCGGCTGCCAAACCTCCCCCCCCACCCGAGGGTCCCCTGGGTGCCACCCCCGTGTCCCCAGCGCCGCCCGGGCTCTGCCTCACTGCGCTCCCAGTGACAACCACGGCGCTCTGCTGCTTTTTTTCAACTCTTTATTCCAACCATCCGCTTTGGTTACAGGTCTGAAAGGGTTGGGGAGGTTTTTTTTTATTTTTGGTAGCTGTTGTGGTGGGGTTTTTATTTTTATTTTAAATTCTCCTCTAATCCACCCCCGCCTGCTGTAATATTATAAAATCCTATGAGACAGTAACGAGCAGTCGATACAATAAATATCTGTTAGTCCACAAAGTTAAAGTGCTTTGAGAAGGGGTGTAAGAAGCTCAGTCCTCCACTGGGGATGGGGAAAATCTCGGGGTTGTAGTGCAGTAGGAAGCTCTGGCTCGCTGTCCCTGCGCTGTGGACGAGACCCCTCGGGCTCTCCTGAGCTAGCAGGAGCATTGGAAGCACGACCAGGATGTCCCCTGGGTGTCCCCTGGGTGTCCCCTGAGTGTCCCCTGGGTCGGGCCGTTCCGGGCTGGGAGAGGTTTGGACAAGGAGCAGGACCCCTCCCCTTTGCAGGGAGAAAAATCCCGATTTTTCACAGTTTAGTCTCGCTCCGAGAGCTCCGGAAAGGCGGGGGACGCGAAGCCCGGGCCTGGCTCGGTGGACAGGGACAGGGACAGGGACAGGGACAGGGACAGGGACAGGGACAGGGACAGGGACAGGGACAGGGACAGAGCCGGGGACAGGCGCAGCCCCCCCGGTGCCCTGAGATCCGCTTTCCCTGAGGCCACCCGGGCCAGGGTGGGAGCGGGACGGCCCCGGCCATGCCCCTCAGCTGCCTGCAGGTTTGTTTTTAGTTTTTTTTTTTTCTTTGTGCGTCTCCAGCGTCTTCTCAGCGCCTCCCGCTGCGCTCCGGGCTCTGCTCCCACCTTCCCTTCCCGTCCCCACACCCCAAATCCAGTCACCTGCCCAGGAGGCTTTTCCATGCAAATTCCCAACGCGGTGCCGATTCCCGAGCTCCCTCCCACACCAAAACCGTCTGCAAATAAAAAAAAACAAAAACAACGAACCGAGCCCCCCCCTCCGAGCCCTCCGGAGCAGGAGGGGCTGTCCCAGCTGACCCCGACATCATCCACAACCAAAACCTCGGGAAGCAGCGGGCATCCCGAGCTCATCTTCCTCCTCCTCCTCCTCCTCATCTTCATCACATGCAAGGAGCGGCCGCGCCCTGAGGATCAGTGCATGCACGGCGGCGTGAACCACACGGCGGCCACCACGTGTCACCTTTCTCCTCCCGAGGAGAAATCACAGCAGCGGGCAAGGACGAGCGGGGTTGGCATCAATGGAAGAGCTCAACCAGAGGCAGCAGCAGCAGCAGAAGCAGCTGGAGCCCCGAGGGCAGCGTGGCCGGGCCACGGGAGAACTGCCACTGGAAGCGCAGGCGGTCGAGCAGGCGCTCCTTGACCAGCGCCTGGCGGAACCCGTCCTCCTCGGACACGCACACGTAGTGGCCGTAGTGCTCGCTCCGCACGCTGGGGATGAAATGGAAGCAGTCGTGCTGAGGGCGGGACGTGTTGCAGCTCTTGATGAGCACGTCCTCGTGGTACCAGTTGTAGGTGGCGTAGTGGGACTCGATGGAGCAGTTGAGGTAATAGCGGGAGAACGGCATCACCGAGATGTTGCGGAAATCGCCTGCGGGGACACAACGGCGGGGTTGGGTGAGGTGGATGCGCTGTTAGAGGTCTAGGAAAATTACAGCCAGGGAAATCACTCCCAGGCTGAAATCTCTCCTGTTCTCTCAGCTCCTTTCCCAAGCTGATTACGTGCTCAGCTCCAGCAGGGAGGTTTTTTCCCAGTGTGGACACACACATTTAGAGAGCTGGGGAATCACAGCTTGGAAATTCCTTTTCAGGCCTGGATTTCTCCTGACTCTCAGCTCCATTCCCAGGCTGACAAGCTGACTGCAGCTTCAGTTAGGGAGGAGTCTCCCAGGGTGACAACACGGTGACAAACAGAGTGGAATTCATCACCAACATTAACCCCTGGTGTCTTTCCCGTGGGACACATCCTGAGGTGCTGTCCCAAGGATGTTTTTCCCAATTGTCCAAGGAGCTCCTGTCCTGTCCTGGCTGCACTGACACACTTTAAATCGGGCTGTCTGTACAATAAATTGGCCTTTTTTCCCTAAAGAAATCCGTGTGTGTTGCTGTCCTTTCTCTCTATTTGCAGCACAGTAACCACATCCCAGGAAGATTGTTTTGTCAGAATACCTGACAAAGAAATGTTTCTATTTATTACATATTGTGCTGGTTTCACCTGGGGAGGACAGGCTCAGAGAGAAGTTCTCTCTATGAGAATTTCCTCTGGGAGTTGATGGGACCGACTGAAGGCTGGTTTAGTTACTGACAGCCTGAAGAAGCAATTGGAGAAAGTTACTTTGCTCTGTGAACACACATTTAGAAGGAGGTAGCCTGGAAAAGAAATCTCTTTCTTTTCTGGCAGCAGTGCAGGTACCAGGGCCTGGCTGCACTGCAGGACAGGGGGGCAGGGCTGGGGCCCTGTCTGGGGAGCTGGCATGGGCCAGCAGGGAGGAGGGGTGGCCATGGACAGGGCCAGGACCCCCAGTCTGGGGAGGTGACATGGGCCAGCATGGAGGAGGGGTGGCCACCCACAGTGAGTGCCAGGTGAGCCCACGGAGGCTCAGCCATTTTTCCAGCCTGGCCTGATTTCCCGTGATTTTGGCACAGCTCCAGCATTGCAGCCTTGCTTTCCCCGGGTGAAATCTTAACCCTTTCAATGCTCTGACTTGCAGACTTTTCAACCCTGCCCGGAGTGAGAAGGGAAATAATGAAAGAGCTAAGTTTCTTTAGATGGAAGGAGAAGGAGGAGATGCTGTGAAGATGGCTGGAAAATCCTTTTGTGAGATTGTAGGGATGAAGTGATATCACACTGACTATTCCTATAAACCATGGAGAAAGACAGGGGGGTTGGAGATGTTCCATTTGATGGATTGTTAATCAAAGGTATCTGTGTTGAGAATCCTTCACCCCAAGGAGAAAATGGGATCTCTGTTTCTGGAGATGAAGCATGAACAGAGAGAAAAAAGATGAAGAGAATTTTTGGTTTGGAGCAGCTCATTCTTAAAAGTAAATACCCCCTGAGTTTAACATGGCCCATAGGCCCAGCTTTGGGAAAGCTGTGAAAATGGGAGGAGCCTCGTGATTTGTGAGGTTTTTTTCCAGACTGATACGAATCGTGAGAAGTAAAGCCACGAGAGAATTGTTTTGGCTTTTTTTTCCCTCCTTGTGGAGATGTTCCTGTAGCCTGACAAGAGGAAACTTCTCTCTCTGAACTGAAAAAATGACCATTTAAGTTGGGAAGTGACTGAAGAAGATTTTCTATGTTTGTCTTGTTGTTATGAAGATTGGGAGAGGGAAGGAAGGAGTGGTCTGAAGATCTTATTCTGAATTTGCTTTTCTTTCTTTTTCTTTGTGGAGTGAATAAAGATTTTTTTATACCCTTTTAGGCCTGATTAGCTCTTTTGCTCCTGGTTCTGTCTCACAGCAGAAAATGAGTGTATTTCAATTGGGAAATCAAAAGTATGATACACACATAGATATAGATAATATAGATAATATGGATAATATGGAGAATATAGATAATACAGATAATATGGATAATATAGAGAATATAGATAAAGACAGATATAGATATAGATATAGATATAGATATAGATAATAATTTTAAGTGTTATCTCACTGTGGAACAGAAAAGAACATCCAGTGCAGTGGAGCTGGTTTGGAGTAAATAAAAGAGGGGAAATAACAACTCCACCACATCGAGAAGGAGAATTATAGCAAGGACTCTTCCTTTGGCTGAAATGAAAATGTTTTTGGTTTTGTTTTTTTTTTTTCGTTTTATTAAAATTAATGGAGATTCCTGGAGACCAAGAGGTATAAAAATGGAACATCTGTGGTTCCATTTTCCACTGTGGTTGAGGCTTCTACTCTGGCCAGCAGAGCTCGTCCCTGAAGGCTCTGACAACATCGGGCAGCCCGAAGATTAATTAGATAAATTGGATAAATCAGATAAAAATTGGATAAAAATTAGCTAAATTAGATAAATTAGCTAAATTAGATAAATTTTATAAATTTGATAAATTTGATAACTTAAACAAATTAGATAAGAATTAGATAAATCAGATAAAAATCAGATTAATTAGATTAAAATTAGATTAATTAGATTAAAATGTGATTAAAATTAGATTAATTCGATAAAAATTAGATAAATTAGAGAAGTTAGCAACGCCTCTGTGATGGCACATTTAAGAAGGGGGAAAAAAGGTGCCCAATTTTTTTCCTCTCTTTGGGTGGGTGGGGGTGGGGGACACTGGGCCCCATCCCATGGTGGCCACTGGGCTCCTTCCCTGCCTGGCTGGGCCAGCACGGGCATGGACCCCACACAGAACCCAGATGGGATCAACTTTTCTGCAGAGCTCAATGAAACTTTTTGATTGATAGAACTTGAGGACAAATGAACCTACAGACACCGATTTCCTGATGCAGAATCTGGATGGGATCAACTTTTCTGCACAGATCGATAAAAATTTTGTGATTGATGGAACTTGAGGACAAACAAACCTATGGACACCCATTCTCTCCCAAGCTGGAGAGAAGGTGACATGAGGAGAACCTGGTGACACCAAGGTTGGTGCAAAAGAGGGAGAAGGAGCTGCAATTCTCCGTGGTGAGGATGACAACACAAGGGATGTTTCCCTGTAATTCATCACACAATTCAGCCGTGGCCTGTGAGGAAAGGGCGCACGTTGAGAAGCCGTGACCTGGGGAGCAGAGACACAGAACCCACCCAGCTTCACACGGGAAGAGAACCCCGAGGAGCTCAGCCCTAAAATCTGCACCCCATGAACCCAACGGCCCAGGGAAAAGCAGCTGTGGGAAGGCTGGGAGCCGTGGGAGGGACTCACAGTTCAGCAGGTTTGGGTGGGATTGCTTCTCCTGACAATTAACATTTGGAGAAGTTCCGAGAAATGGAAGGACCCCACGGCACAGCAATATAGAAACTCCTGCCCCAAACAAATTGGAGAAAGATTTCTTAAAGTGACAAACTGACTAAAATCCTCGTGCTGGTGGGGGTGGGGGAGAAAGAGTTCTAAACCTTCATTTTATTCCCATTTTCCTCTTTGAATTCTGAATCTTTCTTCGTACTTTCCAAAGTTTTGAGCCTGTTTTGAAAGCTTTGAACCCTTTGAGTGTTTTCTGCTGATCCTTATCTCTCCCTCATTTCTTTTTCGTTCCCCCTTTTCTGCTCAGCTATAGCAGAGAACGAGTGGATGGTTTTTTGTGGGTGCTCTGGTGTTTAGACAGCGTCAAACCCATACCAGACATCCAGGACCCACAAACAGAACTGGAGGGTCTTCAAATCCACAAGAGACACCCAGGACCCACAGATGGAACTGGAGGATCTCCAAACCCACAAGAGACACCCAGGACCCACAGATGGGGCTGGTGGGATCATGCCTGTGCCTGGAACTGGAGGATCTTCAGGGTCTTTTCCCATCCCAACCCCGCTGCGACGTCACAGATCCCCATAAGGACAGCAGCTCACGTCTGGTGAAGCCCACAGGACTTTTCTCCCAGTTCAAGTGGAAAAATGATTTCCACTGGTTCCATCCCAGTGTGCTGATTCCAGCTCCCCAGCCACCCCTCCAAACCCATCCAAGCCCATCCATAGCCTGGAGAATCCAACAATTCCTCCCCCAACCACGAGGCCCCCGCGTACCTTCCTTGACGTCGCCCCTCTGGCAGCTTTCTTGCCACGAGCCCAAGTTCAGGTTCTGGAGCACCTCCCTGGAGGATGGAAATGGGAATAAGAACCAGGAGAACTTTGGGAAATGGGGTTTGAGGGATGGGAAACCCCGGATCAGGGGGATGAACGGGAATCTCCCCTTCCCATCCCAATTCCACAAGGTTGGAGATGACCAATGAGAGACCCAGCAGCAAGGAGAGGGGCTGGGTGCCCAAAACTCTGCAAGGGAGGGATGGATCATGCAGAGCACCTAAAAATTTCGAGGAGAGGAGTTGGGTGCCCAGAATCCTTCAAGAGAGGGATGGACCCTCACAGAACACCCCAAACTTTGGGGCTGGGTGTCCAAAACACTTCAAGGGAGGGATGGATCCATGCAGAGCACCCCAAATTTTTGGGGAGAGGATTTGGGTGCCCAAAGCCCTTCAAGGGATGGATCTGCACAGAGCACTCCAAAATTTCGGGGAGAGGGGCTGGGTGTCCAAAACACTTCAAGGGAGGGATAAATTCATGCAGAGCACCCCAAACTTTTGGGGAGAGGGGCTGGGTGCCCAAAACTGTTCAAGGGAGGGATGGACCCACACAGAGCACCCCAAACTTTGGGGTGGGTGCCCAAAACCCTCCAAGGGAGGGATGGATCGTGCAGAGCACCTAAAAATTTCGAGGAGTTGGGTGCCCAAAACCCTTCAAGGGAGGGATGGATCCACACAGAGCACCCCAAAACCCTTCAAGGGATGGATAAATTCATGCAGAGCACCCCAAACTTTGGAGTTGGGTGCCCAAAACCCTTCAAGGGAGGGATGGACCCACACAGAACACCCCAAACTTTTGGGCACAGCGCAGCCACCCCAACCAGCCCAGGAGGGGAATGCTGAGGGTGTGGCCGTTTGCCCGGTGGGATGGGGAGGGGGGGAGTGGCCACCACGCACCGGCTGAGGGCCACCGAGAGGCAGGAGCCATTGGCCCAGCCGCAGTAGGGGTCCCTGGCCAGCACACAGCTGTGGCAGTTGTTGCGGTACAGCCCGCACATGTCCATGGGCAGCTCCAGGACGCGGCTGTTGGAGCCCACGTAGAGCACGGCCTGTGGGAGGAGAGATCAGGGAAAGGTCAGGGAGTGTCCCAGGAAGGACCTGGAGCTGCTGGAGGGAGGACAAGGAGATGCTGCAAGGGTGGAGCCAGGTCGTGCCCGTGGCTGGGGAGGTGAAACTGGAGGATCTTCAAACCAACAAGAGACATGCAGGATCTGTGGATTGGGCTGTGGGATGGCTCACCTGGAGAAAGGAAGGCTCCAGAGCCTCTTCCAGGGTCTAAAGGGGCTGCAGGAGGGCTGGGGAGGGACTTGGGACAAGGGATGGAGGGATAGGACAACCAATATCCCTTGCCAAAGGGATATTGGGATGGAATTGTTCCCTGGGAGGGTGGGGAGGGGCCAGGATGGAATTCCCAAAGCTCCTGTGGCTTCCCTAGAAATGCCCAAGGCCAGGGTGGACATTGGGACTCTGGGACAGTGGAAGGTGTCCCTGCCATAGGGTGGGGCTGGGTGATCATTGAAGGTCCCACCCAACCCAAATAATTCCATGATTTCTCTCCCAGACCCCAGGCCCCATCAGTCCCTGCCTGACCAACCCCGTTCTCCTGCCCCCAGAGCAGGGACTCACCCTGGCATGGTCCAGGATCATGGACTGGATGGGATCCTTGTTGGGGAACACCTGGATCTCCATGATGTTCTGCACCCCATCTGGCAGCTCCACCACCTTGTGGATGGAGCCCTTGTCTGGGAAGAGAGAGGGGACAGCCCTGCTGAGGCAGCCTGGGGGGAGGTGACAGTGCCAGGTGCCTGGGTGATGCCTTGAGTTTTAAGTTTTCCTGTTCTCCTTGGATGTGCTTTTGTGATGTGCTGGGGTGATGAAGGCAAAACAGTCCTAGTCCAGTTGAAAACTCAAGTTTCTCCAAACTTCAGGCTCTAAGCATAAACAACGTGGAAAGGTGGAGGGTGGGTTCATACAAATGAACCAAAACCCATAAAAGTGTGAGATTTTGTGACCTTTCCTTCCATCTTGGAGCCATCCAGGCAGGAGTCACAACTGTGGCACTCATACTGCTAGGGTGTGGCTTTTGTAGGCCTTTCCTAGGCCTCTCAATAAATACCCATTTTATTCTCCTTAACTCTGTGTGCAGCCTCTGTTCCAGCTCCTCAAGGCATCAGGATGTGACACCCAGACAGGGCAGGGAACAGGGCTGGGCACTCCCCGTGGTTCCCCCTTCCCAAAGGGACCCCGAGCCCCCCTGAGCCAGGGGGAGGGGAAGCCCAGCTCGTGCAGGGGTTGGGACCCCCAGGTGACCCCGTGTCCATCCCACAGCCCTTCCTGTTGGATCAGCCTTCCCAGGGGTCCCTGCAGGGCCTTGGCTGCATTTAAATCCAGGATTCTGGAAAATCTCTATTGCTCTGTCTGTCCATTTCTCTGTTTCTCTCTATTTTTCTGTTTCTCTCTAACTCTATTGTTCTGTTTCTAGCTCTGTCTCTCTGTTTAACTCCATTTCTCTCTAATTCTGTTTCTCTATTTCTCTTTATCTCTATTTCCCTATTTCTCTCTTTAACTCTGCTTATCTACTTCTCCATTTCTCTCTCTGTTTATCTCTGTTTCTCTCTTTTTCTCTGTTTCTCTCCATTTCTATGTTTCTATCTCTCTTTTCTCTCCAACTCTATAGCTGTTTCTAACTCTGTCTCTGTTTAACTCCATTTCTCATTTATTTATTTCTGTTTCTGTTTCTCTGTAACTCTCTTGCCCCGTTTCTCCATTTCTCTGTTTCTCTACTTCTGTTTAACTCTCTTGCCCTGTTTCTCTATTTCTCCATTTCTGTTTCTCTATTTGTTTAACTCTCTTGCCCTGTTTCTCTGTTTCTCCATTTCTTTGTTTCTATCTCTCTGTTTCTCCATTTCTCTCCATTTCTCTGGAAAATCCACAATCCAAGCCCAGCCACCCACCTAGAGCCGGCTGCACTTTCCTAATCCCAAATCCAGGATTTCAACCCCTCCCTCCGGGAGCTCCAGGGAGCAGATCCCAAGGATGGGAGGGATGAGGAGGAGCAGGAAAACGACGGAGCTGCTCCTTTGGGAAGGATTTGTGCCCCACAGCACGAGGGCTCTGCCCCCTCCCCCGTTCCTGGGACGCCGCCCGGATCCCCCCGCCTGTGCCCACGCAGCCAAGCTGGCATCGTTCGGCTGTTCCCGAAATTTGGCAGCTCGCCTCTTTGCCTGACGAGCATATGCCAGGCTGGGAAGGCGGGGGATGTCCCCTCGGAGGTGTCCCCCGTACCTGTGGCCAGGTAGAGCACGTTGTAGCGCTGCCCGTCAGCCGCGGCCACCTCGTGTACCCCGATTTTTTGGTAGCGATGCTTGTTGTGGAACAGGGGGCTCCGGGAAGGCCACAGCGGCTCCACCCGCTCCTCCACCTCGGGGTGGCTGTCGGCGATCTTGAACGTCTCGCTGGGCGTGTGCTGCCCGGAGGGGACACACTGCGACCAAAAAAAGGGGACAAAAAAAAGGGATCAGAAGCGGGCGGGGCGCTGAGGATGGCGAGGGGGGGGGGATGCCCAAAGCTGCCCTGGGGGTGTTGTCACCGCGCCATCCAAAATCCTCCATCGGTGTTGGAGTGGGTAAATCAGGAGTTCCTCTGAATTCTTCAGAGAGAAATCAGAGTGCAGGGGTTGAATGAAAAGCTTTGGATGGGTTGAAGTGTGTTAAGCTGCTCACACATAAGGCAGAGGTGAAAGTTTAGGTTTTAGCAGGAGGGAGCAAGCAAGTAAGGGAATTAATTAGTAGGTGGGATGAATAAATAAGAGGAATAAGTTTTAAGTGCTTTAAGTGAATAAAGGTCTCGGATGCCAGAGAAGTAGTAAATGTTCTAGTGAGGGTTGAAAAACATAGTCCTGATACTGGTGTTTCCTTAGAGGCTCCAAGAGCACAGTTTCAAACATAATAAAGTTATAGTTAAGAACATTGCTTACATTTTTCAGATAGAACAAGATAGGCCATGAACGTACTTTATACGCAGCCTGGTGTGCTAAGAAATCAGAATTCTAATAGATTAAGAAGATTTGAGTTTGTGTCTTAGCTTGTTGGGAAGTTTCTATAAAAGAACATGCATTAGAGAGAGCTGGTGCCTTTTGCCACTGCATTTTGCCATTGCATTTTTCCACTGCATTTTGCCATTGCATTTTGCCATTGCTTTATGCCATTTAATTTTACCACTGCATTTTGCCATTGCTTTGCTTTGCTTTTGCCTTTGAGACTGACGTGCTTCTGCAATAAACGACTTTATGGCAACTGTTAATTGCTTGGCTCATTTGAAGAACACAACCCGACTAAGTTGGGTGCCTAAGGGCACCTGGAGGGTCTAACCTCCAGGTCTGGTGCTGTGCTTTAACTCTGGCTTTAAAAGGATTTTAAGCCTCTGTCGGGGGCCTCATTGACGTGTGCTAAGGAGAAACCGGACACCCCAGCAATTGGTGGAAGAAAATAAATAAATGGGATCTTTTCCAGCCTCCCTTCATCCCCAGCTCCGTGTCCCTTCCCCTCTCCTCTCCTCTCCTCACCTGGCCAGGTTTGACCTCCGGGGCGGGGCCGTTGTAGCCTTTGAGGCGCGATGTGCGGAACACGCTGTCGATGTCCCCGAAGGAATAAACACAAACGGCGGAGCTCCCCCTGCCAGGGGACAACCAGAGCGTCAGGAGGGGACAGCTGCCACCCCCCCGGGCTGGCAAAGAGGGCTGCGAGGCAGGGTTTGGGCCAGGGCTCCTCACCAGGTGTTGGTGAAGAGCCCGTAGACCTTGGAGTGGCGCCAGTCGCCCGCGGGGACGATGAAGACATCCTGGAGCCAGTTGAAGTTGCCCTTGGTGATGGGATCCACGCAGATCAGCGTGGCCTTGAGGAACGTGGTCCACTTGGAGGCCGAGAGGGAGCTGGTGCCACCCTTGTCCTCCTGGGGGACAGGGACAGCACGGAGGGGATCAGGGCTTGGATCCCAGAAATCTGGGATTTTTGAGTTTTCTGGCACTGACCCCCTGGAGAACACTGCTTTGGACCTGAGGCCTTGGAGAAGGCTCCAAATTTGGGTGATGGAGTTAAAATCACGGGTGTGTAGTTAAATTGATTTCACATAGTGAAAGGTTTTAAATCTGAGGGGTTTGTAATACAGGAATAGGTATGGGACAAGATGGAGGATTTAGGATTTTTTTTCAGTGCTCATCTTCTCCGTGGTTTCAGGCAGTAGTTTCTGGTTGGACAGTGAGTGCTGCACTGCGGGTCACAGGAATTTAATTTTTGGGTTAAAAGTATCAATAATATAGGTGTTAATTCTCTGTTTAGCTTTAAGAAACCTTGTAGCAGCTGCATCTCTCTCCATTTTGCTCGCTTCTAGCTGGTGGCTGGAAGTGTTACTGAACTTTGTGTGCTTTAGATAAGATTTAATCTTATCAAAAATTTAAATTTCTCTCAGAATCACTGCTCCAGTGGATACAGGAGGTTGCACGAGCTGACAATCCAGACAAGCACTTATTTGATTGATATTTTTGATATTTATGCTTACTTATTGATATTCATGCCCTTGCTTGATCTTTGGAGTCAGGGTTTGGGGGGGAACACCCACAACATCCCAATGGGGAGCTGCAACCCCAGTGTGATAAGCACATATTATTATATTAATTATTATATTATTCTTATATTATTGGCTTTTCACAAATATTAAAATGAATGCTAGATGTATAATGTTGGAAAACTTTGCTGGATGAATCTAGTTTCTTTTAGTTCTGCTGTTGACAAAACTTAGAAACAGTAGTGTGATAAATATTTTCTTTTTCTTGGACTATAATAAGGTACAACGCTTTTGTTCACCTAACTAACTCAGAGAATGGTAAAAAGATAATCAGGATTTTCTTCACATTCTTGAATTATCGGACACCAGAACCCCAGGGAAGGAATTTATTGATCTCCCATTATCAGGGAGTACCAACAGGTTGGAGCCACGAGGAGAAATAAAAAAATTGTTGATTTCCAGGTTGGAGGGGGTGATTTTGAATAATTCATGAGGTTCCATGAATATGCAACACGTTGATGCATTTAAGGAAGTGTTTCCTCAGTTAGTGTGTGCTCTTGGCCGAAGGCTTTGCTTGATTTTTTTTTTTGTCTCCTATCGTCTTTTATTACATTTTAAATTTAATTTTTAATTTTTTTTTTACATTTTACCAGCGAGATGGAGCGGGGAAATTCTCTCTCCATAGCTGAGAGAGGCCAAGCCAAGCCTGGGCTATGAGCTGGCACGTCCCGTGTCACCCCCTGGCTGTCACCTCGCCCTGTCCCCTGTACCTTACACAGCTGAGCCACCCTGGAGATGTTTCGGGGAGCCTCGGGGCTCTTGTCGGGGTTGTCCTCGCGGAAAAAATAATAAATCTTGTCCTCGTGAGGCTCCTCGTGCCTCAGCGTGGTGGCCTTGACAAACTGAGGGTCTGCGGAGGGAAGGGACAGAGATGGCACCCGCGAAGCCACCCAGGGGTGGCGACAGCGAAGGGGACACGGATGTGGCGCAGGGAAAGGAGAGCTCCGAGCCTGGCTGTCCCAGAGCCTCATTCCCTGCAGGGAATCGCCCCCGGCATGGATTTGTCTTTACAAACAGGATAAAACAGCGCTGAGACAGAAAAGAAACGACGGCAAGGATTGCACTGATTGATGAATGGAAAAAAAGAAAAAAAAAGAGATTTGCCTTTACAGACAAAGTGTAGGTTTGCTGAGAAATTAAATTGGGTATTGGAAGGTGAAAGAAGCAATGGGGAAAAACTCTGAATGCCACAACAATTAAAATTAAAAGGGAGGGTTGTACATTAGAGGGGAATCTCAGGTATCAGGAGCTCCGGGAAGTCTGCACCTCTCATGTACCTCAGCCAATGGGGAAAGAGAGAGGGAAATAAATTGGGATAAAAAGGGAGGCTGCATCCTCCAAAAGTATGAGAGACCCCAGAGGAATGGCCCATGGCCTCTCCCTTTATTCCAGTAAAGTTACAGGACTCCTCTGTCTCCTTTTTGGCCATAAACCTCTGGTTTTGGGGATTAATTTTCCTGACATGGGGAAGCCTTGGCAGCCACGGAAACCCAAATCCCTCCCGGCCCTGGGAGCTGCTGTGGGAAGGAAAAATCCGTGCTGTGTGCTGGGAAAACCCCAGAACACCATTCCCAGAAATGCCAGGATGGATTCCTCTGAACCCTCAGCTGCTCTTCCCAAGGCAGGGAATGCCCGGGATCAGAGCTCTGCTCTTCCCATGGAATATCCCGGGATCAGAGCTCTGCTCTTCCCATGGAATATCCCGGGATCAGAGCTCTGCTCTTGCCATGGAATATCCCGGGATCAGAGCTCTGTTCTTGCCATGGAATATCCCGGGATCAGAGCTCTGCTCTTCCCATGGAATGTCCCAGGATCAGCCCTGGGGCTCTCAGCTCTGCTTTGGTTTCCCCTTCCCTGTTTCATCCCGCTGTTATTTTAATTCTGCTTTTTTTTTATCCCGATAATCCCCCATTTTCCCCCTGGAAGTGGAGCAGGGTCCTTTCCCCACATCCCCACCCTGTCCCTGCCCGGCCCAGCCCCAGGGCTGGGCTTTGCCAGCACTGGAAGTTGCCCAACACCAGGGGACAATTTTGCACAACCCAATTTCCTCCCAGCCCGCAGGAGGGACCGGCGGGCAGCATTTCCCCATGCCCCGAGGACTGGGAAATCACTTTTGTGCTGGTTTGGGGCAGAAGCAGAGCAATGACAGGGGGTGAGGAGGGGAAACCAGAAGCTCTGCAGCTTCTCCTGCCCCCTGCCAGCTGTGGGGGTGGCAGAGTCCAGCTGGCAATGTCCCCTCACCGGGAATGTCCCCTCACCGGGAATGTCCCCCACTCACTCTGCATCACCGTGTCGCTGGTGTAGAGCTCTCCCCCGCCCCTCACGCGGCGGAATCGAGGGATCTTCCCGTTCTGCTGGCTCTTCTTGATGGTGGAGTAAATGTCCTGGCCTGTGGGACAGCGGGGATGGTGATGATGATGATGAGGAGGAGGAGGAGGAGGAGGATGGTGGGAGTGGAACAGGAATCCCAGTGCTGGCACCCCATCCTTGAAGGGTGGCAGGGACACATCCTCACCTGTGTCCCCACCAAGCCTGGAGCTGTGGGGTCACCGCAGGCCCCTCCTCCTGATTCCCAAAATTCCTCCCACATCCCACATCCCACATCCCGGTGGGAATCTCCAAAAGATGTGCGTTTCCACGGGGACAAACTGAGGAGAGCCAAGGCCACCCAGAGCAGGGTTGGAGCAACCTCGGGGGGTTCCTGTTTGTCCCGGGGGGGTTTGGAGAACAGGAAAATGGGAAAACATCCCCTTTTCTTACCATCCACAACCACGAGGGTGTTGGAGTCGGGGGTGAAGGGAGCGATCCCTCTGCCATCCCAGGGCGGGCTCTCCTTCCTCTGCGTCTGGGGAAGGACGGGACGGGATCCTGAGTGGGATCGGGCCGGGTTTTGCCCGTGTGGGATGGGGGGAAGGGTCCTTACCACATTCCAGCAGGTGGGGGAGCAGCCGCCGGTCCCGCACACCAGGAGCCCGTCCCAGTACTGCTCCACCAGCGTCAGGAAATTCCTGCTCTCCTCCTGCCAGGGAGGGGACACGAGCTGGCAGTGACACCCAGCCCCCAGCGCCACACAGATTCCCACATTTCTCCTGCGTTTTCCCGGATTTCCACATCCAGAGGGAGCTCACGGGGAGCACGTGAAGCTCCTTCATCCCAAATCCTCCCCATCCCATCCCAGTGTTCCCCTCCTTCATCCCAAATCCTCCCCATCCCACTGATCCCTCCTTCATCACAAATACTCCCCATCCCACTTTTCCCTCACTCAAATTCTTCCCACCCTATTGTTCCCCTTCATCCCAAATCCTCCTCATCCCACTGATCCCTCCTAAAACTCAAATCCTCCCCATCCCATCCCACCCCACTGTTCCCCTTCATCCCAAATTCTCCCCATCCCACCGTTACCTCCTTCACCCCAAATCCTCCCCCATCCTACTTTTCCCTCCTTCAACTCAAATCCTCCCCATCCCATTGTTCCCCTTCATCCCAAATCCTCCCCATCCCATCCCACTGATCCCTCCTAAAACCTAAACCCTCCCCATCCCATCCAATCCCACCCCACTGTTCCCTCCTTCACCCCAAATCCTCCCCACCCCATAATTTGGGACTTACCAAATTCCCAGATGCCACGCACTGCCCTTCATTTTTCACCGGGAATTCTTCCTAGGATAACAGAGAAGGAAACATTTCCATTTCTGCTTTCTCAGCTCCGAGGTCACCAAACACCGCCAGATGTCCTTGTCCCCTCCCCTGGCTCCTGAAATCCCTGGGGAAAGCCGGGCTGGATCCCAGTGATGGAATCATCGCTGCTCTCACCCCAAAAAGGATCCCTGGCTGGAATTATCCTCCCACCCCGGGAAGAACCCACCCGGGAGATCCCTCCCTGCTGGGATTTTGCTTCCTGGCAGAGCCCAGCTTCATCCAGGTCTGGAATGTGGGTGGGGAGATGAATCCCAACCACTTTTTATGGGGTTTTATGAGGCAGAGCCTCCTCACCGTGTAGTACTCGCGGGTTGTAAAGTCGTAGTAGTAGAGCCTCCCCTCGCCCCCGACGTAGATGGAGGAGGTGTTTTCCTGGTGGAAGAACACCGGGAATCTCTCCCAGCGCGGGAACACAAATTCCTTGGCACCTGGGGATGGCACAGACCTCAGGGAGCTGCTGGGGGGGCACCCTCTGACCCCCTCCCTTCCCTGCCCAGTGAGAGGAATGAGGGATTTGTCTTTACAAACAGGATAAAACAGCGCCGAGAGAGAAAAGAAACGACGGCAAGGATTCCACTGATTGATGAATGGAAAAAAAGAAAAAAAAAGAGATTTGCCTTTACAGACAAAGTGTAGGTTTGCTGAGAAATTAAATTGGGTATTGGAAGGTGAAAGAAGCAATAGAGAAAAACTCTGAATGAAGAATTAAAAATTAAAAGGGAGGGTTGTACATTAGAGGGGAATCTCAGGTATCAGGAGCTCCGGGAAGTCTGCACCTCTCATGTACCTCAGCCAATGGGGAAAGAGAGAGGGAAATAAATTGGGATAAAAAGGGAGGCTGCGTCCTCCAAAAATATGAGAGACCCCAGAGGAATGCCCCATGGCCTCTCCCTTTATTCCAGTAAAGTTACAGGACTCCTCTGTCTCCTTTTTGGCCATAAACCTCTGGTTTTTGTGGGTTCATTTTCCTGACACTTGGAGCGCCGAGGAAAACGGGGAGGGCTGGGAAAGGGGACAGGAGGCTCCCAGGCTCCAGCCATTGTCCCCTGGGCCCCCGGGGACAGGAGAGCTCCACAATGCAGAGAGGAAACACGGGAATTGCTGGGATGGCAGGAGGGGCAGCGGGCAGGGCCCCAGCCCTGGCTCTGGGTGCTGCCTTCCACAATTCCAGTTCTGCATCCCAGCTGAGGCAGGAGGGATCCCTCCCCCACCCTGGAAACAGATCCAGGCAATGCCAGAGAGATTTGGGTCCTTCCCAGAGCCAGGAGGATGGACAGGGTCTGGATCCCAAAAGCACAGACAGGGTTTGGATCCCCAAAATCACACACAGGGTTTGGATCCCCAAAAGAACACCAAGAGTTTTGACCCCAAAAGCACACACAGGGTTTAAATTCCGAACCAGAGCCCGGTTCTGTCAGGGAAAAGCCTCACCCCAATCCTCACCCCTTCACTCCCTGTCCCAGACAGGAACAAAAAGTGGCAGCAGAGCCGCCCTGTGCCCCCCTGCCCTTCCTCTTTCACGTCCCGCCTTTTCCAGCTGCCCTTCCCTGCAAACCCCCTCTGTTCCCTGCCCTGTGGCCAGCGGGGCTGGGGGAGCCTGGTCCCGGTCGCCTCCTGCTCCCAAAGTGCCGAGATGTGCTGGAATGGCAGCACAGGGATGGCTCCAGGGATCAGGGCTGTCCTCAAGCACTCGGCATTCCCGCTTTTCCCTTTCCCAAAAATTAAAAAAAAAAAAAAAAAAGCGGTTTCTGCTCCGGGCAGCGCTCCCAGGCGGGGAGCGCCTGGCAGGCGGCACCGCCGGCTAATTAATTAATTCATTAATCAGCGGCGCGTGGCTCTCAATGTTTGGAGGGCTGGCACTTGGCACTGCCCAGCCCCGAGCCGCCTCAGAGGTCACCGGGGCTGAATCCCCGCCGGGTTTGTGGGGTTATTGCCTCCTCCTCGGGGTCCCTCGTCCCTAAAAACAAGCGGAGTTTTCCCAGCAGGGCTTGGGGAAGGTGCCAGAACTCCCCGGGCTGGTTTGGGTCGGGCTGTGGGGACACAGTGAGGGGACAGTTCCCTGTGTCCTTCCCCTGGGACCCTCAGCCCCACTGATCCCGGTCCCTGCCTGCCCCCAGCCCTTCCCTGTGCCCAAGGGCTCTGAGAAACCTCTGAGCCCGAGCTGGAGAAGCCGGCACAGAATCTTCCAGGATAATTCTGTCTCAACCTGGCCAGGAGAGGAAGAATCCCCTTCCCAGCCTATTCCTTCCCAAAAACCCCACTCCTGGGGAGCCCCTAAAATGCTGTGACCCCACCACCACCACGCCTCAAGCTGATCC